AAGGAAAGGTTCTGGTCTAAATTTTATGAGTTTCTCATTTTCAGTCCATGTCAAGCTACTCTAACCTTTTCCAACTTGGTTCCTTTTTTCCTTCTTTTTAATATCTTTCTATCTTTCGATTTTTATGTTTTGAGATTTTCTCCAATTTGAGGACAGTTTTGCCAAGCGCTGAAAAAATTTCTAATGGAGCTTTTCATCCTGGGTTTAGGTAAATCGATGAGTTGCCATTTGGTCGCCTTCAGTCCCTTAGAAGCAGCCTGTTCCAGGCGTTATAGTTATGGTGCAATCGATGTGGCAGAGCGAAGAAGGAGATCTGGGTCGAGTTGCGTAGAGAACGCGACTCCATCCAAACCTCCCTTTTTTTCTTTCAATCTTCCGCTTCTACTGTACTTCGTTTAACTGACTGAACGCCCGTAAGAGGCTTAAAAAAAGGGCATTAATTTTAACTACTGGTGTACTGTAATCACAAAGGCCATTCAGAAGAAAGAAAAAATAATACCTTTTAAGAGCCCATAATAACTCATGATTGAAGCAACCAAACCGCCTAAAGCGCGGGAAAACGCTAAGCATAACCAAATCAATCCCAGATTACTTTCGAGGCTCAATGGAAATTTGCTTTAAATATCCAACTTATCTTTTGTTTTCTTTACAGCTCGGAATTTTCCCGGCAGTCCAGAAGGCGATGAAGATTTCATTAACATGTTAGCAGGTCTGATGGTTGAAAAATCACCCGAATCTGCTGAAAACTCTGCTACTCTGTCGGTGGAAAATGGTGCACCCGATACCCCGGAATCACCCACGCTCGCTAAGCACCGGTGGGAAACCTATTTACAGTCACGTGTACGTGCAAGCCGCAACATGGTACGCAAAACCAGACCAGTCTCTCTCGGTAGCGCGATTCCTGTAGCGACACAGGCCACAATGAATCCACGAGCGCAGTCATTCTGCTTGGAAGACAAGCGTTCTGTAGAACGAGTTATGGCCGAACAAGTGCCCGCTCCACTAGAGAAGGCTTCGTCTCACAGCTCGGATCCAGGGAGTAAAACCAGGTAAGAGTAGATATGATAACGGGGATAGGGGTTGGTGGGCGTAGTGTTTGGCGGTTGAGGGAGGGGTTGATGGAGATGGAAATGTTCTTATAGGAATTGCAAGGCTAATGAGACGGCTAAGCTGCCTAGAGTTTCAGTTTGGAAACTTGCTTTCCGAATTTGTAGAAAGTTCTTCTACTGTTATAAATTTCTTGTTACTGTAAAACTACTCGACTTGCTGAGCTCAAAATTTCCCTCAAAGGATCTACGTCAATTTCACCTTCAACTCCAACAAAAGTTGACCTAGAGATTATATTTTCTTGTCCTCACACAATATAACATTTCACCTTAAAAAGAAAGCGCCTATGTCATCAAAAAGATTCATTTCCAATGTTACGTAGGTGCGCCGAGTGCGGATGCCCCGGATGTTTGTCAGTTTATAACTCTATCACTACGAACATCTATGCCGCGGAAAAAAGAATTATGGGGCGGGTTGAAGCTAAACTCCAGGCCATGCTCGAGCACATGGACTCGAGGTTCGACACGTTATTCAACAGTTTGCTACTCAGACAAGAGCAGCCCTTTACACGCAGCGCTCATGGCTCGAACAACAGCTTTCCTGGCACCAGGAGGCTCTCCCAGCGTAATGGTCACAAACCTGGTGATACGTCTGTTTGATAGTCAAACACGCGCCGCCGCCGAGGATACACTCATCAAAGTTCGAGAGAATTCTTACACAAAGCGAATAAAAGCGATTCCCCCAACTGTTTCGTTGTTGATAATGGACAGTTGGCTGCAAAGTCAGGTCGAATCAGTCTTAGACTTTATCAGTTTGGAGGAGTTTACATGCAGCTTGGAAACAACTGCGAAAGAAACAAAGTTTTTTTTTTTTTTTCCGTTTTCGAAAAGTTAAAGGGTCTTTTTTAGATGGCCAGCTCAGAGATGATCTTGGCTTAAAGAGGGAACCCAGGAAAACACATAAGAGATTAAGGGTCTGAATTAACGAGAAATTATCTTTGAGGTACATTTTCCCTAAATTCTACCACAACTGATGACCAATTTTGGAAAACAAGTTTTTAATTTTGCGTTATGGATCGAACTGAGTCTTTCTGGGTCCATTTTATTGTCCGACAGACTTTTGATCAAATTCACAACGTTGTAATTATTAAATAAGTGGAATTGTCCTTTGTAGGCTATGTTATTGTATGAGCTGTTCACATTCACAGCAGAACACAATGTCTTAATTGAAGTACGTAATTAACAATGAAATATGTAATATTTTCGAGCAACATGCATAAAACATAACGGTAATTCAGGCGGTTAAATTAGATCAAGTTATTATGCATCCCTTATAAATACATATTAATTTACCACAGTTGAAAGCTCGCCAGCCTGCGAGCAAAACTGTTTTCGGTGTTCGCCTTGCTCGGTTTTCTAAACAAGAGTGTTCTCGTAGGCGAAACATTTTTTAGAAATGTTTTGATTTATTTAAACAACAAGGGATAAAATGCGGTTATTTGATGTCAATTATTTAATTCTTTCCTACCAAGGTGTAATTTATATAATAAAAGCGTTATTTCTTATATCGAGACCATGTAACAAGTGTAGTGGCAGAATAGTTTATGAGAAAAAAAAAAAAAACAGTAAAGATAAATGAGTAAAAATATAAACCGATTAAAAAAAAAAAGCAAACAGACTCGTCCGTATTTCAGACATAATTTGGGAGGGTGGGGGTGAGTATCCGTAATCTAACAAAACTTTCAGAAAACAATTCCGCACGTAACAATGTTCTATTCTGTTAATGAGAAAGTATAATATTAAATTTTCTTGTCAGTGCCATCAGAAATATATGTGGAATTATTTCACTGACCATCATTTAAGAAAGCACGTATAAATTGTTCAGTCCAGAAAGAAGGGTTTTTGTCAATATTCAAGCCGATGTATGTTACGACCCTGTTGGGACACTAGTGCATGGTACTAGGCTGCACTCTGATGGCCATCAAATTATAAGATGTACAGCTTTTGAACCAAAACTGTTTCATCAGGATAAAAAACTTCAAAACTTTTACTCCAAGGAATGACCGAAAGCGACTAGTTTAGAAATTAAAAAAAAAAAAAAAAACAGGATTAGTTCAATGTCAATCATACAGGTAACGATAACCAAAATAGGAAAAGTTGTCTTGATATTGCCCTGGCGCTCTAGAGCAAGTAAAACCTCCCACGTTGGGAGGTGGGTAAGGTTCCCTAGGTTTTCAGATATTTGAAGGGATCACGCAAGATGTCTTCAACTTTCGAAGCCAACACTTTTAAAGTATCGGGTTTCAACTCATTGAAAAGATTCATTGTTGGTACAAAAAAATTATAGCAATCGTTATTTTGCAAACATTTATGCAGTGCCACCAACATCTCGAGGAATCTGTCGGCCAACATAGACTCGGCCCATTCCTCCTCTTGCCAGTGTTTTCTACTGGCCCATAGTACAATGTTTTCTAGGTACAGCGGCGTGATGCCTTTGGGTCTTGACAAATCTTTGTCAATGAGAACTTTCAACACGCGCAAGCATCTCTTTTTTCCATCACAATCAGCCTCGAGAAGACGCCGGCGTGCGGAGCAAAAGCTTATTCGCCATAAGGGGTCAGCCTCTCGGCTTGTGGCCATGGCAACGAGGTGCATTCCACCCTTAATGACCTTATCTTTGACGTGTGGCAATGGCCATCGTTTAGTGTAATTTCTGAGCCAGTAAGCGCACAGGGGCCAGGTTTGCGGACAGGCGACTGTTGGTATGAGATTTACGACGAAAGGCACTGTCACTTCTCTGTCCGAAAAAGTTACTTTCTTCCTGTGTGGGCTCGAACCATGCCGTAAAATTTTCGCTGCTGCTCGAGAAACTAACGCAGCAAATTTCAAGCACAACTCTTTTGGTGAGAAATAGACCTCACCAGAGTCTGTGTTCGTGCACAAATGGTAAATGGTGCCATCTGACGACCCCATATTAGCTTCTGACGTCACGTCTGATGTTCTTATCGCATCTGATGACGTCATGCACGCTGATGTCATACGTATTCGTGCATATCCAGTTGGTGTTTTCATATCCTCAATGACAAATTCCGTACGCGAAATGTTTTCCAGTACAACAAGTATGTCCACTTCGTTTTGCGACTTCATTTCATAATAACTGTCAGGGCTCATTCTTTGGAACTTTAGAAAGTTGTCGAGTCGTTCCACTTCAGCCAAGATTTCATTGACTGTTTCCTCGATCTGTAGCATCATCTGCTTAAAACAAACTCGCTGAATCTCCACCACATTCTTGTTAAAGTCGTTTATTGCTTTCAAGAGCTCTTCTCTGGGGTGAGCAATTCCCATACTTGCTACCTCAACCAATTCAGTTTCGAAGTTCAAGGCCAATTCTCCATTGTTTATCGTGTTTGAAGCGTGCTCGGAAGGCGGCTGCGCCTTCCCAACGCGTTTTCCAAAATCAACGATATCGCGGTCAGCTCTTGGCTCATCGCCCTTTGTCAATATTTCATCACTGTACAACGTGTCGGTCTGGATTAGTGGAATAGAATTCACTGGATCTTGGGTGGCGTCGTGTCGTTCTTTATCGAAAATGGATATGCTGTCGTCGAAAGTCGCGCAGTTTGTAACAGGGCTGTTGCGTTCATTTTGTGACTCTTCCCTCTCTAACAGTCGTGCGTCCTCGAGAGTCGATGAAGCACCGTTGGCGTCGAATTTAGATTGTTCTTCACTTTTATAAATCGATTTACCGCCGGTAAATGTCGAAACATCCGTATCAGAGTCTTCTTGGAGGTGGATAGTGTCCTCGTTAGGAGTCGATAAACGATCGTTGGTGTCGAGTACTGATTGATCTTCACCTTCATAAATCGATATGCTACCATTTAGTGTTGCAATACCAGGTTTTACGTCTGGGTTGGGGGTTATGTCGTCCAAGAGAGTCGATAAACTACCATTGAACGTCGCGCGTTTTGTCTCATACAGAATCGAATAATCCACATTTTCATCGACGCTCTGTCTGTCGAAATCTTCATATTCATTAAAGTTGAACATCCCAGACAGATCACATTCGTCTTGAAGACTTCCGTCTTCAGCAAACTTCATCATAGTTCGTTCTTCTAAAACTCGTTTTCTCGCCTACTCGCAGTTTTGTTGGAGAAGACCGTTCAACCAGTGCTCGTTGTCTGATGCAGGAAGCTCAAAATTTTCTGCCATAACTAATAATGAACCGCAGTTTCACTCGGGTGTATGTAAAAGCCGAACCATTTAAAATTCCGTCCGGTGCACGATCTGTTTTCGGTTGTCGAGAGGAAAAAAAATAGTGTTATCTTTGAGCACAACAACAGTTTTACACTCGCATCGTTAGAAACTTCTTCAAAAACTCTTTTTAGAGTCTTTGCTGGTGTAGACAACTGTTACATTAAAGGCAAGCAAATTCTTGATAAAAAATAAATTTCGTTGCTAGACGTGTGGGAGACTTAACGGTATTGGTTTGCATCAATCGCTCATAGAAAAAAGTATCTTCATTTGATTGGCGTGGTATGTGAACAAAATCTCTGCATGCTTATGAAACATTAATGCTCGTATTAAACATTAATTGACCACAGTTCCGTTTTCTGGCCATTGTTTTTTTATTTATTTATTTTTTAAACATTTTTTTATAAGTTTAATGTGTTTGGTAGTTTCCTTTTTAATTTCCATCTGACCTCAAATATTCTTATTCAGTTTCTTCACTGACCATTTCGGGAGGATATAGAGGCGTCTACTGTTTAAAAAAACATTAGCCTACGGTATCATATACTAATAGGTATTCTTGAGTAGCAACATATTTACCGATCATTATCGTTTGGTTTTTGTACGGAGGAATATAATGACAGAGACATGTTGCTTGAAAATATTCTGAATATCCAATAGGAAACCTGGTAATCTTTGAGCAAACTCTAACAAAGAGGTCTCGGACATGCTACTTGAAAAACAAAGCCCTCTTTTATCGGCGTACCACGATTTTTTAAAAATATTCTTGCAACTTCCAAGGAAGCAGACCTGGTAAATATCTGATTTAATATTACCAGTGTAAGCTTCATTTTCAACCAGGTTTGCTTTACTTTCATTTCAGTTGAGCCATTTTTTAGTCTGTCATTTGCAACGAGAATCACAAAGAAATCCTCGAACCCTACTCATTTATTTTATTTTCCATGATTGTCTACCTAAGTAAATAATTTGTCCAAGGTTTCTGTTTATCTTTAAGCTTCTTTAAAAAGAAATGCTCAAGGAAAAATAAGCAATCCCAGCTGAAGATCGTTCAGTGGAACGTAGTGACTACATCATACAAGTAATCTCTAAGATCACTACAGTATTAAGATTCTCATTAATACGGGATAAAGCCACGCGGGGTGTTGGAAGAACTCGAGGAAAGCTTATAACTAAGCTTTCTATGTGTTCTCCCAGCATCCCCAGAGGCTTTATCGCTATAAAACCCGGAAAAATGCGTTCTATTGCATTTATGACATAATTAGTCGTGTAAGGTATTGATCTCCATAACAAGCATATCACACCATATGCTGTACAATAGTTACATTGTATGACAACTGCATGCTGTAAAACTACTATTCCTGAGTACCTGTAAATTGTAATATATAAGAGAATAACCACGTGCAATAAAGGGGAATTACACATGTGAAAGGGACGAGAGTACTTATCGATGGAACCCTTAAATGACAACTCTACAGGTCGCATGCGGGCTCTATAATCTATATAGCATCCGCTTGGAAACTGAATTGACCAATCAGACGATGCGTACTATGTCACTATGTTACAATGTCATTTATACCATACATCTCTTATAATGGTATTTCTGAGAATTTAGTTTTTAATCATTGAAATTATTATCTACTTGTTGATATTTTTCTTTCTTCTCATTCCCCATCTGTTTGTTACTCTATTGTTATTGTTAGGAGAACTTGGATCCTGGTCACTTTGAAGAGTGAACAAGTTAAAATACTCAACTCTAACGATCTCTCTGGTTGAGAAGGGGTGACTTCATGGTCAGTGCGCCAGACTCCGGGGCAAGAGGTCTGGGTTCGAGGCCTGATTGGGTCATTGTGTTGTAATATTGGGCAAAGCACTTTACCTTCACAGTGCCTTTCTCCACTCCGGAGTAAAAGTAGGGACTGGCAAATTCTCAGAGAAGCTGGATGAAATCCTGGGGGGGGAGGGGGGATTAACCTTGCGTTGGACTGACATCCCATCCATGAGGGGGGTGGTGATACTCCTAGTTGCTGCATGTTATGGAAACTGGGTGAAGTTCTGGCTGGATGTGTGACTTGGCTTGAGTACAAAGTTTGTCAATGATCTTCCTGGGTTACAAAGCAGTTGTATACTGGAACAGTTGGAACGCGTTCAGGAAATTTTCTGGGTCAGCTAAAACACTTCGAACTACTTCTTCGCACCTCTTCAAAGTCACCTTGTCGAAGTTCTGAAACAAATTAACGGCTGGGATAAAAATCTGAGTTAGTGATCTCTCTGAAAGACATCGTTGCAGTTCTATTACCGTGTCTAAGAAACGCTTGGAGAAATTTTCCTCGCTCCAAAAAGATTTCACTGGATAATGTTCTGTTATACGCAACACAATAGTCTCAAGTTGAAAACTATCGCATGTGTCCCGTTGAGAGTGCATGTCGCCCATGATGATCTCAAGAATAAGCAGGCATTTTATACGACAACCCATGTTTACTTCGAGCAGTTTCCTCATGGGGCCAGGAAAATCAATTTGCCACTGGTACGATGACCTACTAGGTGATGGCCTGGCTACCAAGTGAAATCCACTCTTGATGACCTCTTCTTTCAAAGTCTTGCTCGTCCAATCAGCTTGCTTGGATTCCCACGCATGCGCAGAGAACACCCAGCGTCCTGGACAAGGAATTGCTGGGAGGAGATCAACGCTGTATGCTTCAACATCGTGTCCGCTGACCCGCAGAGAAATCACTTCGTCGTCGTCGGTGACTTCCACACAAAAGTTCCTCGCTTCTAGTAATCCAAGGTAAGACGAACTGGCGATCACTCGTTTAGAAAGCTCAAAGAGTTTCTCTCTGACAGTCTTAGCCGACAAGTAAACTTTGCTGGGATTACTGTTTCCACTGCAGAATTTCCACCGCGACACCATTTTCTTACCTGAGAGCCTAACGAGCGTAAATCCAGCTGGAGCTTGCCCGTCTTCGACAGAAATCTCTTCAGGATCCACTCCATGAAAATTCAATAGTACTTCGTAATGGATGGGTGACTTGATAATATAAAAGCTATTACAGTTCATCATTTCAAAGTCAAATTTTTCATCCAGTTTCTTCACTCCTTCCAACAATGGATTAATTATGTTTTCGATTTCCATCAGCTTCTTTCGACGATATCGAACGAAGGCGTCAGCGTGCTTTTTGAGAAAATTCTCTAGAGCTGCTTTCATCGTAGTTTGCCAGAGATCCGACACAATGTTCTCGGAAAAAAAAAATAACTTCTCGCGACAAAGAAATGACTCAGTCACACAGGAACTAATTACCAAGCGCTGATATATTTGTATCTGTGTTAATGGATCGACTTCTCGGCCATATTAAAATTTCATGGAAGATTAACGGCTAAGTTGCGGCGCTCAGCCGCCTGGCAGTTTTCTGCCGTGTAGCTGTTCGATTCTGTCTGACTGCGGCAGGTCTACGAATGAATTTCTGTTTTGAATCTGTTATCGTCTACGTAAATACACACCTGATAAATGCCAAATGTTAAACAGGCTTTTTCATCTGTTGTTTCAGCGAACCCGAATATTTGATTAACATTTATTGGAGAGACTTGAAAAAGCCACTTTAAGCCAACAGGATCTTAAAATTTTGCTTTTAGCATTAATGCTGACACTCGTGACTTCGCGATTTGCATATAACATAATTGAGAAGATAATAGTCATTTTCGCTCGCCGCTTGACCAGGCCAATAAACGGACGACGATAAAAACTGCAAATGACAATAGAAATTTCATCAGTAGGATACCAGAAAGTTAAACCGGCCTTGCTTCTTTGTCCACAGAACGTATCGCTGTTGTTGTTGTTATTATTTTTGTTTTATAACTGGAACATACAAATAGAGAAATATAACAACAAGAAGAATCTCTCCTTTACCGATTTAAACATGCCATCGAAATCGGTGAAAGTTGACTTCGTTGCAGTAAGTCCAAAACTGATCTTTCCATCCAGTTATATACAAAACATCATAAAATGTCCTTCAGACAAAATATTTTCATTTTTAGTTAGACAAACTTTTTCTGGAAACAAACGGACCCTGTGGATAAATTAAAACGGACCCTGTGGATAAATTAAATGGTAAAAATTGTAATCGTAGGAAAACATCCATTTCGACTCGACACCAGGCACATGAACAAACAAAACCTTTCCACTTATTTATTTTTTTCCTCTTTAATTTTCCGTACCAGTTTCATACACTCATTTACAAATAACACCACCTTTGGCTTACATGTACATTCATCCAAAAAATATTGAATTAAGAGTATAAAATTCTAAAAATGCGAGAGCGTTCGTTAACATTCACTTAAATGTCTCTGATTAACACCCAGTTACATTTCAAATGTACCTGCATTGATTTTGGCTGTTATCGATTTTCCATTACAAAGGCGGACAAAGACAAATAAATTCTAAAGATATGCTTATTGAAACAGGTGCTTCGTGTTTCTAGCCTAAGTCAACGCGTTTCCATAGATGGTAAATATAGATGTTTCTAGGGTGTCATAACCGACACAAGAACTCACACATTCCCAGAAATTATATCAGAAACGAAAAATGAACCGAAAGGGAATCTTTTTCTGTTGGGTAGCAGGTAAATCCTATCATAATGTATTATCGTCAAATAAACACCCGTAGAAACTCGCATTTGTAAGTTTATGGATTCAATTTTGCAGGAAATTAACAATTTAAAAGAAGCAAATAAACCTTATAGTGAAGAAAAAATACGCTTACCTCATTTATGAATAATAAACATCGGATACGCTTTCAAGAGAAGTCTATAGAAAGCAGTCCGTGAAACTAAACTCAAAAAGATTTTGCTTCAACACTTAAGATAAAATTCTAGTTTGCATATAATAATAATAAAAAAAAAATTAAATATTCAAACCCATCCCTCTCTTGAATAATTTTGATATAAAACATCAATTCCTGTGTAGAGACACGTAAAAATACTTCTCCAGTCTCCGTACATTATGGCCCTCGAGAGCTACTTATCTCATATCTTTTAAGAGTATAAAATAACGAAAAATATGAAAGTTTTGCTTTCTTCGATGTGACTTGAAACGTAACGGCGACCTACGAAAAATGGAAACATCATCGGCTATGATAATCGTTGGCTTGTGGAAAATTACGGAAACTGAGGAGATGGGGCCTCATATAAAGATTTTTGAAACAATCACTTGGAGGACAACCTTGAAATTTGAAAGAATGTTCAGGGGCGGTTTCCCTTAAGTAAAGATAACAAATGTAAAGGTTACACTGAGGAACCTACATCGCAGGGACAAACTCGTGAGTAGATAGAGTGTTCCTTAACAGGTGTCCCGAGAAGAGGTGTCGCTTAAGTTAAGATAGCAAATGCAAAGGTTGTACTGCCGGAGCTACATTCTAGAGACAAACTCGGGACTAGATAAATTGTCCTTGAAAAGCGATGTCCGTGAGTAAAGATGCCAGGTGAAGGGTTCACACAGAAAAATAGGGGTGACAAACTGGAGACTGGTAAAAACTGTCCCTGAGCAGAGATGTCCTTTGATAAAGATATCAAATACAAAGTTGTACAGTGGATCCTACATTCAGGAGACACTCTTAAAACTCTTGTCGTCTCGATGAACGAGATGGTTGTAGTTTCTACAGTTTAAACCAAAGAATGAGCCATTACGGTACCCATGGTGTCAGCTCAAGCTAAAAAATGTTTTCCTCTGTGTCTAAAAGAACAGGCAGTTGACAAGACTTGCTTCAACATTTTCTAATAAAACTTATTGTTTATCATGCACCAATTTGCTCTTTATTAAGCAAGAAATACAGAACCAACTTATATGTACATAGAATTTGCGTCTTAGAAGCCTTAGAAGTCAATATAAATACTACTATTTAATCGTCTAGCCACTTTCAAGTTGTCTGTTGCACAATAAAATCCGTGAGATGATGAGCCCACTAGAAAGCACCGTGTTAGTGCCTTTGTCGGAGTTTTGCTATTTTCCTTTGGTTATCTAGTCCCTTTCTTCCCACTGCCATATTGGCTGGTCAGCTCCTGTAGCGCCTCGGCTTCATGTTGAGATTGCAAAGCCATGATCATGTGATTAAGTTTGTCTTCTCCTTCCAGAAATAGTTCTGCTCCGTGCTCTGTCATGCCTATTCTGTGATCAGTCACTCGGCCCTTCGGGAGGGAATGTTCGGTTTAGACTCAAGAAACCATAAAATTTTTATCACCGCTATTAAGAGAGAATTCTAGTTTTACACGTGAGTAGTTGCGGCTTTTCTCAGGGCTGGAAATCCAGCCTAAAAATACTTGACCGCCTTTTCTTTTGTTGCGATCGAGAACAAACATCAAACATTCAAGACAATATCTCCGACACTTCAGATTTCAAGAGAATTTCCCGACTGCCGCGTTGGATTTTTTAAAGCAGTCACATGGTGGAGAAATGTGCAAAAAAGGACAACTTTCGATTGTTGCTGTAAAGCTTTCAAGGTATCGACATTTCTCAAATGAAGAATCATTCGTGAACAACAACAGAGGTAAACCTTGGACTAACCTGAGGGAAGTTATAAGTCCTTATCTTTTCTGATCGTTCTCCACTTCCAATCTAACAATATGAAAACATTTTCGTTTTAAGCCGTATTTGATTGAGTGCCGTTACAATCAAAACAAATGTAAAAAAAAAAAAAAAAAAAAAA